AGCTGTTGTATTTTTAAATTTTGCTGCCAAAATCGATCTATCAGCTAGTATGATTTTAATATTGCGTGTGTACATCGGGAAATAGGTGCTCGATAAGAGTCTTTTCCGAGTCGATGATTGTGCAGAATTGTCAGTATGTATGTAATTGTATACATCCAGTACAGTACATCCAACTTCCCCAGTGCACTATGGGCGATTAGTTGATTTTGGCGGCATAAAGTCCACACATAAAGCTAGGAGCTTAATTTTTTTTTTTTTTTTTTTTAAGGGTTACTAATATTTTAGCTTGATTTCGGATTTTTTTTAGTCAATTTGACCACGCCTTTATTTTCCGCCCCTTTATAACCCCGACACTTGTACAAAAATTTCTATTAATTAAAAATTTCTATTAAATTTTTATTATATTTATTTTACAATGTTTTAACAATATTCCAAACTTAAAAAAAAAAATGTTAAGAATCTTCTTCATCCAAAACAAAAGAATTCTCATGTTTTACATCGCTTTGGTTGTCAGATTGGGTTTTTCATCATTAAAAAAATTGTATGAACTCAGCTCTGATGTTGGATTCTCTAAAAGGTTTACAACTTCTATTGGAAGCAGTTTCTTTTTCAAATTTTGCAGCCTCTTATTTATATAGTAGCCTGATATTAATGGATCAGATGAGTCCATGGCTCTATTAAAATCGTCAGCCACATTACTTAATCCAGAATTTTTTCTGGCATGAGAACATCGGTCCATTTTATAATGTTTGTTTCGAGCTTTTGATGCATTTTCACGCAAACATTCAACTGGAACTATACAGACATTTATAATGTTTGCTCCGTGAACTAATATTTTATGTACAGTTGGAGACTTTGGGTACCACGGATATGTTTTCATATATAGATTAAAAGTGTCTTTACAAAATGTTCGGTTCTTTTTTGGGCTGATTGAGAATTCACACGATGCTGCTATTAACATAAAGTAAAAATTATTCAAAATGACCTCATCAAACAATTTTATGGATGCAAGCAGTTTTGTATTTGCAAAGATTCGTCTCGCCGTGTTACCATCATTGCTGTTACCACTTCCGTACTGTTTCGGTATGCTAATATGCAAACCCATTACCTTCCATACTGTTTGTCTGAATTTCCTTATTTCTTATTATGATTTTATTTTTATCATCGCCTTCGATTTGTCAGGTCTTTATATCCATACGGTACGATATATTCAAGACGAATTCCATAAATCGAATCCATGCATGTAAGGGACTTACGCCATATTTTAAAGAGCCAGGCTGAGGTCGAAATGTTTCAGAATTAAAATCTGTGATTTCGATAAGTCTTTTGGGATTTACTGCACAGATTGGGCAACATTGATTGGATTTTGTACCAGTTATGACGTTTAATACCTTTCCATCAATTAATGACATATATGTTTTAAAATCCACAGAAATATTTTTCGTTGCAATTTGAACTTTTCCAATTTCGCTAATTGCATATCTAAATATTCTTTTTCGCCTAAGATTTTTGCGGAGCTCTCTTTCGCGTATTCAATTTTTAAAGGCCTGCAAAACCTTACTGACTGTGGGCTTCTATTTAACCATATTACGCGATTTGAAGAATCAATTAGACGTATTAGTATGACAGTGGATACGAACAGCGATTGATCTAAGAAATCAGGTTAATCTGAATCAAATTTTTGTTTATATGAACTTTGACCCGCCGATCTATCAAACCCATAGCTAATAGGTGAAGTCCGTTACATTTTCCATTTTCTCTAAAACATCATTTTGTAAGGTCAATATTCGTTCAGCTGTGTGGTTTAGCAAACCCCGCAGATAAACCTTTGCCACAGTATCGGAAATACTAATTTCTGACGGTCTGCATTAAAATGTTGTAGATCTTATTAAGTCGTACCCGGGACATATAATGCAGCCGTGCGCCTTGTAGAGTTGTGTACAACTGATATATTGCTGAAAAGGTAATGCTTCAATATTAGAAATGCGAGCTGGTCTCGCTTGATTTGTTATTTCGGGATTTACAACATTTTCCTCAGTCATTACATTTCGCAATAAGCCAACCACTTTATTTTCATTACTTTTACGGGCAGACGCAAGGGCGGCATGCAAAAATAAAGCAGTAGAGCAATCATTTTGAACGGCAACTTCTGATGCCATTTGCCTTCATAGTCTAGGCCCGGCCTCGGTTATATAGTTATATGGCAGCTATAAGATATAGTCGGCCGATCGTTATGAAATTTGGTACGTCGGATTAATTGACAAAGAATATAATCTGTACCAAGTTCCAGCTTTCTATCTTCAAAAACACGAAAGTTGGGCCATTTCTGATCGTTCAGTTATATGGCAGCTATAGGATATAGTTGGCCGATCCTGATGAAATCCTTTTCATGTCGTATTTGTTTTACCAAAAATAGCTCTCACCTCAATTTGAACTCTCTAACTTTAAGGGGAGGGTAAGGTATTAATTTTTATTTTTTTTTCATTTTTTTTTTATTTTTTAAATATAATGCATAATATCTGAAGAATATTGTGTCAAAATTTCAAGTCAATTAAAGCAAAGTTGCTTATAAACGTTTTACACTGGATTACACTGGTGTTTAAAACTTTAAAGCGTTTTTCCCACAACTCACGTTATCAAAATCGGTGCCCCTCATAACTTCAAAACTACTGCACCTATCCTTTTGAAATTTTAAACACCATTTCTGTACACATTTAACGAGGTAACGCTGTCGAGTTTTTTTTTTTTTGTTCATAATTTTGATTTTGCAATGACAAATTAACCGATTTTTTCCGAGTTTTTCACTTCAAAGTCTTCAAAAAAATTAAAAAATTGCAATTTTCAAAAAACCTTCACAGCGTTACCTGGGGCGAACTATTATCTAACGAATGAATTTTCATTTTTTGATTACAAATGATCCAGCACCGAGTTATGAGGGGCACCGCAATTCAACTTTTTTTGGCGACACGTCCGGACAATTGATACCATTGCCATATTTTTAAATATTTTTTTGTAAAAATTTGATAAAACATTCTTCTAATGTCATACTTTAATATACCGTTGGTTGAATAAATAAATTTTAACTGTGTCGTCAGGAAAAAAATTACAAAAACATGGCATTTTTTGCATGATTTGACCTTACCCTCCCCTTAAAAACATCAAAGTTATACCAATTCCGATCAATCTGTTATATGGCAGTTATAGGATATAGTCGGCCGGTCCGGGCCGTTCCGATTTACTATATTACGATTACGATATTACGATTTATATACTGCGTGCAAAGGAAAGAAGGGTGTGTGCTAAGTTTCAAGACGATAGCTTTGAAACTGAGAGACAAGTTTGCGTAGAAACAGACAGACTGACAGACGGACATGCTTATATCAACTCAGGAGGTGATCCTGATCAAGAATATATACACTTTATAGGGTCGGAGATGTCTCCTTCACTGCGTTGCACACTTTTGGACACAATTATAATACCCTCTGCAAGGGTATAAAAAGGACCTCCATTTTTTACAACAGCTTATTATTATTATTATTATATAATGCAGAGCTTCATACTTAAAAAAAAAAAAAATGTTATGCGAAGAAGAAATGTATCGCTTCAGGTGGACAATTTTAGCAGAAAAAAAAACAAGAATGAATTTTTTGGAGTGAAACGTTTTTGGCACTCCAACAAAAAAATTCATTCGTATTAGCACGAATGAGGAGAATAGGGGAAAAAAAATTGTTATTGTAATTACCCTTTGCCAATGCTGGGAGTACACACTTATATGAAATTTATTTTCCCATATGAAAGAGCCATTCCAAGAACAAAGGAGCACTGAGAGCAATGGGGCTGGGCATTCCTGATTTACGCGAATACAATATACCTTTGTACTCTACAAGTACCCGGAATAAAAACTAAGCTGTGTGGAATAGGAAAAAATATACTCCTAAACTAATTTAAGGTTATCAAAATCCACGATATTTGCATCAAGAACGGAAAACTATAATGAGACCGATGTTGAAATTCTTTTGTGATTAAGGGGGGACATCTGAGTAACAGGCCAAAAAAAACGGATTTTTTCGAATTTTTTTTGGCCAAATCAAAACAGCTAATCGAAAATTTGTAAATGAGGTTTCATTATATTATATTTAAAGTACAAAATAAATTTTTTTTTAATAAATCGAAAACAAAATGGCGGCCCTGCAGCCCTTATTCGTAGACCCTATTTTTTTAAAGGCCTATTTTTTTGATCTAGAACAAAAAATCAAGTTTGGTTAGTTTTTGTATCTCAACGGCTATCGACACACGTAGGATTTTTTCGATATTTTGATTTTTTGCAAAATAGTGAGTGATTGAAAAAAAGTTTCAATTTTCACGAACAAAAAACGTCACAAAATTGTTGATTAAAAAAAAGTAAGCAAAATAAAAAAACGTGTGTCGATAGACATAGGTATTCTGAATATACTGTCCAAATTTTAGGTTAGGAGTTGTTCGAGTGGTTTCGAGAAAAACGCGTTTAAAGTTTTAAGTACTGTGGGATATACCTGTGAAGCATCGCCGCAGAATGGAAAATTTCGACACTTAGACACTTTTGCCGGACTCTATCTTTTAATATGTTATTTTTAAGACCCTAAAGAATTTTTTAAGCGAAAAAAAAATTGCGATTTTTTCAAAATTCTACTCAGATGTCCCCCCTTAAGTAACAAATTTATGTTATATGATATTATACAAATCGTATAAACTACCCTTCTCAGCGGAGGGTTTGATTTCATTTTAGACTTCTTTCTTTGTAAAATATTCTTAAAATAATGTTACTTTCGTTTTCTTCTTTAAATTAGTGCAAAAGATTCTTTTTTTTGAGGCAGTATGTATAAGTAACACAAAAAGGCATGTCTCGGATCTCTCTGAACTTGTTTAACGTGGCGTGTTCCACACTGAAGGGATTACAATGAAATGTCAAATTTTATATTAAAAATGTTGTTTACATAAATCTTAACACTATGTTTTTACAGAATGGCGTACAGGTGCTACCGGCCGAGTGATTCTGTATGATGAAGATGTCACATCTAAAACGGAGAGCGAGTGGAAAAAACTCAATACATTGCAGCATTACAATGTACCAGATGGTGCAGGACTAAGCCTAGTACCAAAGCAAAGTTCCATATATAATTTCAGTATATTGTCTGATAAAAATGAAAAATCTCACAAGTAAGTTTTTTATTGATAGCCAATTTTATTGATAGTTTTTTTTAAATAACATTTTTTAATTTTAGGTATGAAACTCTTAATATATCAAAATATACGTCCTCTTCTCCGACTTTTAGTCGCGCTGGAAGTCCTTTAAATAATGATATGCATGATAATGGCGTCAAATATTGGCATCTTGTGAAGCATCATGATAGCGATATGCAAAAAGAAGGGGAAAGAGTAAACAAACTAGTATCTGAGATTTATTTAACACGATTATTAGCGACAAAAGGAACTCTTCAAAAATTTGTAGATGATCTTTTTGAAACCATATTTAGTACCGCTCATCGTGGATCAGCTTTGCCATTAGCAATAAAATATATGTTTGACTTTTTAGATGATCAAGCTCAATTACATGGTATTACCGATCCAGAAGTCGTACATACTTGGAAAAGTAATAGTCTACCGTTGCGGTTCGTATTTTTATTTTGTTTACATATGTCAAATACCTGTAAAGAAAAACATATTTTCATAATAATTAGATTTTGGGTGAACTTAATAAAAAATCCGAATTTTGTTTTTGACATACATAAGTCAAATATAGTGGATTCCTGCCTCTCAGTTGTAGCTCAAACATTCATGGACTCTTGTTCAACTTCGGATCATAGATTGGGTAATTAAACATAAGAAAAATACATTTTTTTTTATACATATATATTATATATATTTCCTTTATATATTATATTAAAGGAAAAGACTCGCCAAGCTCGAAACTTTTATATGCTAAAGATATTCCGGAGTATCGTAAATGGGTAGATCGATACTACAGAGACATTCGAGACATGTCTCCTATATCGGATCAAGATATGAACGCAATGCTCGCCGAAGAATCAAGGGTATGTTGCAACTAACTAAAAAAATTTGTCGGACATTATATAGTTTTAAAATTTTTTGTAGTTACACACCACGGAATTTAACACAAATTGTGCTCTGCATGAACTGTATACTTATGCTGTAAAATACAATGAACAACTTACCGTAACTCTAGAGGAAGATGAGTTTTCCCAGAAGCAGCGTTTGGCTTTTAAATTAGAGCAAGTTCACAATATAATGTCAGCTGAATAAGATATATTTCACATACGTGGGTTATAAAAATAATTGAGTGAGCCCTTTTATGACATTCTCAATAAACAATATATGTCTAAAAAAGATCGCCTATTGTAATTTCCAGGCAAAAAGAAGAATATCTTCATCTCTATGTATTGCATTTTGTAGACTGTGTATTGGCGTATATTACTTTTTTTTTCCTCATGCCGTGTTTGAATTGTACATACATATCATTCTTATATATTCTTAAATAATGACAACCACCAGCTACTATAGAATCAGAATATGAATTTAGATGTCCAATATCATGATTTGTTACTTAAAATTTTGTTTAGCTAAAAAAAAAATCCATTTCAAGTAATATTTTATTTTTATGGTTAAAATCAATTAAATATTCTAACAAGAAATGATGAACAAGAAATTAAACAGAAATACTAAAAAATTAATTTGGTAACAACATGACAACAATGTGGTAAACCGAATTATAATCACTCAGACATAACCATTTATAATCATTCTCTCACGATAAGAGCAATGTATAAATATATATGTAAATTAAAGGATTTTCAAGCAATTTTCTGAAGAGTTCGATCCGGCCAAGATAACTGGCAACTAGAAACTATACCTATAATTTTGTCCAAAAGTGTGCAACGCAGTGAAGGAGACATCTCCGACCCTATAAAGTATATATATTCTTGTTCAGGATCACCTCTTGAGTTGATATGAGCATGTCCGTCTATCTGTTTTTACGCAAAATAGTCTCTCAGTTTTAAAGCTATCGACTTGAAACTTTGCACAAACCCTTCTTTCCTTTGCACGCAATATATACAGGGTGACAATAAATAACCCGCACAAACATTTTTGATCATATTTTTTTAAGGAACTGTATTTGAGAAAAAATGCAGATGCACAACATTTAAATAGGTATTACGTTAACATATATTCAGCCGGTTTCGAAGTGGCTACCTTGAGCTGCGATACAGAGCCCTAAACCTTTCTGGAAATTTAGCGCAATAGGCCGCAGGTCTTCTTCCGATAATCGATCCCATTCTCGGAGCAATGATTGCTTCAGGGCCTCCAAACTTATGTGTCGTTTAGCACATGACCTGGACTCCAAAATAGACCTCACACTGTAGTGCATCAGATTAAGATCTGGCGAGTAAGGTGGCTATTCACTGGATGTGATAAAGTCCGGAAAATTGGCTTTGCACCAGTCCTGAGTCTATTTGGCTCTATGGGCTGGCGCTGAATCCTGTTGAAACGTCCTCTCCATACCACCGAAGTGCTGCTGGGCGCAAGGAAGCACAACAGTTTCCAAAATGTCCCGGCGATACACTTCCTGATTGACTTTGACCCCTTGATCGATAAAAACAAGGGGTGTTTTACCGGTGGCGCATATTCCTCCCCAAACCATTAAAGACTGCTCACATTGACGGCGCTCAATTATTGCAGAGGTACCTGGAGCTTCAGCCGACCAGCTTCTGTCATTTTGGTGTATGTGCGCCTGTTGGATGGAGAATATCTTCCCGTCCGTGAAGAGAATACGCTCCCATTTTTGACCTGCAGCCCAACGCTTTAGCTGACGGCATCTTTGGAGTCTCACGCGCTTATTGTCATCCGTAAGCAGATGCACTTTATGGAGCTTTTAGGGCTTGAGATTAAGTTCATTTTTTGCAATCAACCGAACACTTTCTCGATTTCACGGGGTATTTTTCTGACCGAGACTGCAATTCCGAGTGATCCGCTTTTTCACGATCTGGCGAATTTTGGAAGTGTTAGCGGTGCATGGTCTGCCACGTCCGGGACGGTCACCTTCATGGCCAAGCTCATTAAATCGCCGGATAGCGTCAGAGACAGTTTGTTTTGGTATGCCACGCAAACGAACAATGTCGCATTGGCGATTTCCTTGTTGATACAGTTTTAAAATTGCTCGATTGTTAGACATCCCGAAACAAATATCAAATTGATGGGAATCACAAAAATGTAAATATATTTGTTTCAGAAAAGCTATCAATAAATACATTTATTTAAGGACTGCGTCATAACACATAATAGATTGCTTCAAAGTTTGTCCGGGTTATTTATTGTCACCCTGTAATATCCTATAATACTTGACTATACTATAGTTGCCATACATATAACTGAACGATCGGAAATGACCCAATTTTCGTGTGTTTCAAGATAGAAAGCTGGGACTTAGTACAGAAAATATTTTTGGTCAGTTAATCCGACCTCCCAAATTTCATAACGATCGGCCGACTATAACTTATAGCTGCCATATAACTGAACGATTGGAAATAGTTTTTGGTAGATGTACTAAATTTGGTATTTTTGAAGATAGAAGCTTGGGACTTTTTTTTTAGATATTTTATTGTAATTAATTGGTTTTATTATGTTATTATAAGGATCGCCAACTATATCCGATGATTGCGATATATATCCGGTTTTAACTGCAAGGGTAAATCAACTTCGGCTCCTCCCGAAGTTAGCTATTCTTTCTTGTTAATATTTCCAATAGGAAGATTCTTATCAAATTTTTTTCAAATTTCTTATCTAAAAAAAAATCTTAAATTGTGGACATGTTTGGTGATTTTAAATAAAACAAGAACATAATTTACTAACCTAACAATTTTTAAACAAATTTTTCAAAAAAGTTATAATTAAATGGTATAATTTTGATATTTTAGAAAGAAATATAGAACGACTATTTTATAAAAACAGAAAAAATTAATTTTTTTTTAATTTTCTAAATTTTTTTAAATAGTGTGGCAATAGTAGTGTTTTTTTCAATCCATGTATAAATATTTCGAAAAAGCGAAGAAGCCAATATTAAAAATTCTTATAAATTTCTAAATTTTTATTGAAATGTCATATATGTCTTTGCTCTCATAATGATTAAGAATAATTTTATTGTATGTATTCGATGTAAGTTTGTACCCGATTTTATAGTAAGTATAGTAATCAAATAAAAAACGACTGAATTTAATTTAAACTATAAATAGTTTCCTAAATATACATAAAAAAACGTATATCACATTCCTATTTTTCAAATTTGTTTAGCCTTATTTTTCTTTTAAAATTGAATTATCGAATGAAATTTGTAGTCATGTTTAAAGAAATCTAAATGTCAGTTTTAAAACGAAAAATATATTTAATTTTGAGTTTTTTTTTTTTAAATCCTAAAAACACCCTAAAAATTTTATTAAACAAAAAAGTTTTATATTTTTGTTTAAAGCAACTCAGAAAATTCACAATGTGCATACGTTTAGAGGATGTCACATTAATCACATTAAAAAAAATGATTTTAAAGGAATAATTTGTAAATAAAGAAAAAGTTCGATGGAGGAACTGAGTATAAAATGTCGGTCCACCATAAGGAACGATTTTATGTAAATTATTTAATGTAATGTAAATCATAATACATTTTATTTTTAAATGTTTCTTTGCTATTAATTTATGCGAAAAAGAATACTAAAACCATGAATACACTTAATCTGGTCAATTCAAAAATTATTAAAAACATTTTGCCAATAGTTAAATAAATTCATTCGTACCATGTGTACGTGAGAAATTCAAATTTATGTGTGCGTAACTATTATAATTAAATGGTGTATTTACTGTACATATTTACTGCTCAAAAAGTGTAATAGAAACAAAATAAATACGATAAGTCGAACAACCCATCCAATTAGTGTGGAAACAAATATTTTTAGAAAAGGAAATATGCCCACCAAATCGAAATCCTAATGGAAACATAATTGTATACAAAAGTAATACCACAAGCTAAGTATTTTATACCCTTGCAAATATAAAACATATTTAAAAAGTATACATTATTTTCTCAGTAGAAATCGTTCACTGCTTCGATTGTTGTATTGAGCAATTTTCATCTTTTTTTTTTATTAATATTGCCAATTTATTTAGCATTGCGTAACAAATTATGAAAGTAACACAAAGGCTAAATCTTTGCCTTCTATGTATCTTTACTATCTGGCTTCATTATATCCTTGCAGAGGGTATTGTAGTTTTGGTCTTCTCCAAGTTTTGGTGAAGACATCCCCTATCCTATAAAGTATATATGGAACATTTTCTGATAGCGCAATCGACTGGCGCTGCGGCAGAGAAGCAGACTGTTCGGTCTGTTTAATTCGAACCGAAACGCTACAAATAGTGTTTTTCGTGCCGACACTTTTTTTTAACAAGGGCCGAACCCCTTTCGGCCATTAATTTATGGCTGATCAATCACTTATATGACAGCTATAGTATATAGTCGGCCGATCCCGGTCGTTAAGACTTGTATACTGTGTGCAAAATAAAAAAGTGTGTGTGCAAAGACAAGCCAAGACAAGATCTCAGATACTATAAGAAATAGAGCTATAGGATTTGACATGGAGACTCCACGCCCCCACATATTGCGCAATTCTGTAGCGTCAGTATTGGGAGGTTTTTGAAAAACATATTTCATCCAAATCGGCGATTTTTAGAGGAGATATACCCATATATATTTAATTTTTCATACAAATGGGCTAATATATTAAATGCGTGGATCTAGATAAGACGATAAGCTATCCAACTTGGAACTTTAAGTTTCATAGTATCCCCGTAGATAAGTTGGTGACAAATTATTGTGTCCGTTTTTTCTTGTTCTACATGAATTAAAGTCGGACTTGGCCCAAAATAGAACGATTGAATGCAACTGCCTTTTGAGGTAGCCGATTAAAGCCGATTATCTGAATAGATAATCGTGAAGGAAATATTACAATAAAAACCAAATTTCTGTGGATTAATTAAACGATCAATATTGAACTGTTTTGAAATCGATAGAAATATCCAAATACCATAAGCTACAAGACTTTTTTCCAACTAAAGAGATTTTGTTTTTTTATACCCTTGTAGAGGACATTATAGTTTTGGCCAAAAGTGTGCAACGCAATGAAGGAAACATCTCCGACCCTAAAAAGTATATATGTTCTTGATCAGGATCACCATCTGAGTTGATATAAGCATTTCCGTCTGTTTGTTTTTACGAAAACTAGTCTCTTAGTTTTGAAGCTATCGACTTCAAACTTTGCACACCCTTCGAATGCTATTTTTTCGCAAAATAATACGACATACCAAATTTAGGCCGGACTATATGTCAGAGGTTCCAACCTACCAAATTTCATAACAATCGGCCGACTTTATCTTATAGCTGCCTTATAACTGAACGATCGTAAATGATATTTTATATTTGGTAAAAATACCAACTTTGGTACTCCAACTCGTTCCTAGAGTTTCC